AGTTGTTCAGTTCGCTATGCATGCGTCACATATGCATAATATCCGTATGCCGAATTGAAAGAAAACAATGAACTAACTCTCTATATTATATATGTATATATTTTCCGCTGTCAGTCACTGTTTTTGTTTGGTTTTGTAACTCAATATACACAAAAACTTTAATTCAAATACAGGGTCGTAACCTCGTAACGGATAGAAATATATTTGTTCCCATTATAAATTATTTATATAATATTTAATATCCCCTATCTCATAATATAAATGTTAATTTAGTTTTAGTTATTTTTATGTTACAAGGTATAAATATTATATTTTTTTTATTTATATTTTTAACAGCAATCAGAACCTTACGTCCTATGAGCTGTTCGCTTATCTCCTTACTTCGTATTTTTAGATGGTAACCCAATGGTTAATCCATCCATATTTGATGATTTTTGTTATTAGAATTAATCTAATAGGGCTGACTTTTTATTGGTGCAGCAATGCCGGGCAAGGGCTATTTTCACTTGGAAACATATTGCTATCTATATTTCCAAGTGAAAATCGTTGTCATTGCTGCTTGACAACAGGCTGCACGAAGTGGGTATCGAACCCGGGACCTCTGAAACTAGTCCAGTCGCTCTTAACCGCTTATCTACGGGCGAGCCCAAATATTATATGGCACAAATACTCAAAATTTTGTTGTATTATAATAGTCCCACCACAAATTAACTAAAATAATACTTATATTTTAAGTGAGAGCGAAAACTTAATTTTAGAAATAACAGTTAAATCTTATGTGAATATTTGAATTTAAACTTTAGTTAATTAAGTGAATTATTACACTTTTGTAATAAGTAAAACTTTTGAAATATTTATTTATTCTTCTAAGTCTACTTCATACCCCTCAAAATATTCCCTCGCGGACGCAATGCCAACGTATTTTCCAGTTTTCAAAAACATTTTTACACTCGTCTTCCAAAATTGTTATTAGTCACTTCTTCGATTCGGCTTTTTTGTCTTCAATATAGTCAAAACGATGTCTTCACAATGGGCTTTCGATTTTAAAAAATAGCCAGAAGTTGACGTGTAGCTCATTACTAAATGTTCCGAAGAGAACCAGTTTTTGATGTGGTTCGTCTTCAATGCGCTCTCGACCTTCTTTGAACATTTCAATCAAAAACACTTACTGTGACGTGGACTTCTCACCAGAGGACTCCTGCAACCCATTCTGAACATTTGGCGTCTGATAATTTCAGTTTGCTCACAAAATTTAATGCTACTTCTTGGTTGTATAATTTCAGACAATCAGACATTATAATAATCAACGAAACAACTTTTCTTTGGTTGCAAACAAAGTTTAATGCAGCTGTGAATAAAATTACCACCAACTTAGAAATAAATTACTACTAAAAGTCCTACTCATATTTGTACCCGTCATTATATTAGATTTTTTTTCTAAAATAAATTTGACGGAGGTTCAGTATTGTTACATATTCTGGATGACTTCGTACATTCGACACATTCGATATTGTAAAAACCTCGCAATTTCTGTACATGAACTATAAAAATTTGATTAAAGCCATGGTGCATTTCGTATAATAAATATATGCCAAACTAATACAGGCCTGCGCTACTTGTACGGTAAATTTATACCTTAAAAACTAACTACCTCGATTTTAAATGAAATTATCTCTTTCCAACATCTAGTTAAATATTGATATGTGGTAGAAAGAGATGTAAACAAAATTCAGAACCTATACGTAGATCCCTATAAAAGTATCGCGCCCCTTTTGTGCATAGCAATAGTTTGAATATCGAGAGGGCTACATAATACAATTCGCATTAAAGTTTTATTTATAATGAAATTTTGTGACATGTGCAAATAATTCTAATCCCGATTCCCTCTTGTTGGCTTCTATTTCAAAAAATATATACATAAGATTCTAAACTACAGCTATATGAATGTTATAGTCTTTTTCGTATAATACTTTAATAAATTATATATTGACAGTTTTTATTAAACATCTTTTTCATTATTGGCAAAAACTGATCAAAGTGCTTTTTGACCTCCAAAGGTTTTACCGCCTAAATATTTTTTTAGAGATCGGAACAAATAATAGTCAGATAATGCCAGGTCTGGAGAATGTGATAAATTGGCATGGTAGTCCATTCAAGCTGTAAACGCTTTTGGAGATTGACCAAACTTATGAGAGGTCCTGCGTCGTCTTTTTGCAATACTATAACTTGCTTGTTGGTTAATTCTAACCTTTTCTATTGAAGTTCATTACATCATTTACAATTCATCCAGCTGATGACATTAGGAATCCTATTACCATTAGACTATTACCAAAAATTATAAATGTAAATATATACTCGTATATATATATATATACTAGCTGACCCGGCAAACGTTGTTTTGCTTATATTCTAAAGAATTTCTAGGGAATCAAAAATATTAATATTTTAAGTGTATAAGAATGTGTTGTTTCAATGCTATAAATAATGAGGTATTATAAAAACAAACAATCCCATTAGTTTGTCTATATTTTGTCAACACAATCAAACTGGAAGTTTTATACATTTTCTATAGAATAATCTAATCCGTCTTTTTTGGTCTTTCGACTTATTGATTACGTTTCAAGATTTTTTCAGATTCTTTTTGGATTCTGGATTTTGTGTATAATTGTAAATAATACTACTGAACTTATACAAAATTTTCAAATTTCAGAGGAGAGATAAAAAATTAATTAAGTATTTCGTCTTTGTCCTGCTTTTTGAAAAGTTTCAAGTAACATTCGATGAATTAAAGTAAATTTAATAAAAAGTATATATGTAGAGCAGGGCGAAGCACAAAGATCCAATTTGACTTTGAGCAAATATAAAGTGTATTGTGAAAACCATAACAATTATATCACAACAAATAACAAAATTCAAACGAACAATTTAACTGACTACGTTCAGTAAAACTGCATTCTACTTTATCACTGTAGAAATGTGCTTTTTTATGTCTTTCAAAAATTTGTAATCTAAACCTTTTTACCCTATAGGCGGGGTAACTTGAAACAGGTTTGAAGTCTTATTTTAATTTTAAAGGATTTTACAAAATGGAACGGATTTACAACGGAGGAAAATACTTATATTATTTCAAAGATTACCGTTTATCTCCCTATAGCAAAGTCTTTTAATCAAGGTTATAGCTGGTTATACACCCTTTTTCCTCTACTTTCAAATATTGTTGTTAAACAATGCTTAAGTTTACTGATTTTTGACATATCGGTGGTGGAACTTTTTAACCCCGGACCTTCATATATTACTATCTATTCTTCGATAAATTCTGGGAAATTATAACTGGGAAAATGTTATTCGACAAAATGTCCATTTGATCGATACCAAATTTAGGTTCTGAATTTAAATAACATAAAAAAAAATAATATAACCTAGAAAATGTTTTATAAATACCAATGAGTAAATAATGATACAAATGAGATCTTTCAGAGCTTCGAGTTTGAGAAAAATATGCCAAAAAAGTGCATTTTCATATTAACATTTCAAATAAGTTGATATTTTGAGTTTCTAGTAACACTTGCGGCCCGTTTACTGACGTTTTTGTATGTAAATAAAACTACAAACAAAACTACTTGCTACAATTTAATCATAATTAAATAATATTCACGTAAAACATCCTATTAAACATAATCGAACATCATCTGTCAAAAACGTTTGACATTTCAAGTATTAGCCACCGTCCATTGTTTTATTTACATTACGCTTCAACAAAAATTTTCAAATTAAAAATGTAAAGTTTCTACGCGATTTTGAAATAATATCTCACCTTTCCGACCATCTCTGGATTGGCACGAATTTTTCAAGACTAAGACTGGTCAAATCGGTTTAGCCGTTTTCGAGTTTTACCGAATCATTTGATCGAGAGCTCCATTTTTATATATAAGATATATATATATATATATATATATATATACATCCCGTCTTGAACAGATTAACTTCAAGCAGTAGTGATATCAGCTTTCACTTAAAAGTATAGATCTAGATTGAATTTCGAGTCAAAATAGACATTCAGGGTAATGCTGCTATATACACATAAACACACACACACACGCCTACCGTTGGGTTGCCTTCCAAAAACGTCACGAACATAGTTAGTCATGATTATCACGACAGAATGAATGGTACAGAATGAATTGTTTAAAAATTAGATTTCTATTCGCAACACAATGAGTTCTACACAGAAATAAAATAATTACTAGAATTTCAATCCGATAGTTAAAGTGTTATATATAAGATAAAATTTGTATGCATGTTAATACGGAACCTTAAGGCAATTAGGAGGCAAACACTTGCCATTTTTGAGTATGTTATAAAAGTTTTACTTGAAAAATTAAAATCGTTTGTTTGATGCATAAACCTGTTGTTTCTTTTCAACAAAGCTTCCAGAATGAGTTGCATGATTATAAAAAGTTACATGCACATATATGCAGACATAGCAACTACACAAAAAATGATGAATGAAGAAGACATTTCTTTTTTCTATGCGGTTTTTTATGTCACGATCGACAAATTATAAAATAATTTTGAAAAAAAAAAGTTTCGAAAATACTTTGCCCTAACAATTCAAAACATGATAATTGAAATACTATCTACTCTATCCGAGCAAACAAAATCAAATTTACAAAAGTTAATTTTAATAGATAAGTTCTTCCATGAGCTGCTATTTATTTCATCCTTGGTTTCAACACACTTTACAGCACAAACAATAAACCATTTTTTCTTCTAGAAACTTATTTACCATAATTTTGAAATTATATTAAAAATGGTTCTAATATTTTAGACCTTTAGTGACAATAAATAATTATTAAGATTTTTTAGTTATAAAATTTCATGCATATCAATCGTCGATAGGCCAGTCAAATAATAAACATAAATAATTATTCATATCAAATTAATATTCATCATTCTAATCATATATAAAAATAATAGCATTACAAACAATTTTTAAACATCCCCCTTATATGATAATGTGCTTTGTTCATATTATTCTACCAAACCATTACCATTCCAGTGAAGTAAGTGATTTGTTACCCTCAATGAGTAGGGGCATCAGTTACTGGTTAAATATCTATATAAAAAGAAAAAAGTTGTTTTTTCTAACAATGTGTAAAATATTTAATTAAAATATTACATTAAATTTGTTCAATGTTCAATGATTAGAAAGAAATAGAATGACTATTAATTGTTTTCTTCTACGTAATAAATTGAAAATCTGAAAGATCCATGTAGTTTGATTAACGTGTAGATTTCAAGTTTAACTGAATTCATGATGATTTATTTTTTCTAAAATTGAATTTCTAAATCAACAATTTGCAATGAATCAATTTTAAATTGGAGTCTATATCATAGTTTCAATCAATAAATTTTGATATCTGTATCTAGTTTGCATTGAATCTCAATATTCTTTATTGATGTACATCCCATTTATTACTCCCCCTCGTAATTTGACACATTGATTATTGACATATTATTTAATATGGTATTCTCGATTTACTATATGCCTGTTTAACCTAGCCAATCATCAAAAATTCAAAATAATACGTGCTGTGTATTACAATTTTGACAGCCATGCGGGGTGATGCAATAATTAAATATAACTATGTATTAATGAGACTCATAAAATAGAATAAAACTACACTTACATTTGATAAAATCTAATAAGTTTAAGTTATATTTTTATCATATGTTGTTTGTAATATAAAAATATTTATAAAAGTTCCATTAATATATGCTATTTAAAATCAATATATTTAAGTTGATGCTATCATTAACTTCCCGCAGGGTTTAGTAATCGCAAAAAAATCGAAAATGAATTTTTATGTAACTTTACTTTCAATTTTTGAAAGAAAGGAGCATCTGATTTGAATGATTCGAAAAAACGTTTAATTTGTATTGACGAAATGAAGATCAAGTGCAATTTATGGGAAGGCAGGTCTAGCGGTTTCGGAAATTCAACAAAAAAAAAGTAAAAAAAAATCCATTTGGTGGACAAAAATGATCATTAAACATATGCACATCAAATTATTAGATATTTCAATAATAAGAACAAAATTTGTTCACATTTCCATTGGTTCCGTACAAATGATGTACGTCGTTAGACAGCGACGCGTCGTTCACGCGGTTCGATATTTCGTTTCTATCGCGATTACTTTGAAAAAAAGTTCAAAATTTCAAAAGTTCAATATTTGAAAGTATAAAAAAATTCAAATTTTTTAAAAAGGTCCATTTCTTTCAAAAATATTAAAATTCTCAAATATCTATTTTGTTCAAAGTTCTGAAAAAATTTGAATTTTGAATTTTGAAATTAATTTTTGGTACGAGAAGTTTCTGTAATTTGCCTTAAGGCAAGATGCCATGCACCTCTCGTTCAGAATTATTCAAAAAACATTTCACTTATATTGACGAAATGAAGAACTGCTTAAATTTTACGGTATGTCCAGTGATTTTGGAGATCCAATGAAAAAAGTAAAAACATCAAATTATCAGATATTTTGTAGCTAGTTCAATAATAAATGCAAATATTGTTTACATTTCTATGGGTTCCGTACCAAGATTCATAATGTTTAACTGTTACACTGCGTAGCGGTTTGGCACAACCACAACGTGTTAAAATAGCACAGTTTTAAGGAAAACAGTGCAGTGCGAAAAAGCGGAAGACAAGCAAAGTTATTGCATATTTGCACAAAGTTCTTGAAGAGGCTTCGAATCAACTAAAGATCTCATAATAAATTTTATTTCTGTTACGGATTGATTATTCCATACTTCGTAAGAAGTTGATCAGGTCAAACCGAGAAAAATTTTAAATTTTATCGCAAAATCACAAGGTACATAGCGGAAGCCATTGCTGCTTCGTGAAATGTGAAATACAGTAGTAATATCCATATTCACTAGAAAACATACCAAAAATATGTTTCTTATTGAAAATAGCACTTCCGTGCCCTGAGGTATCAAATTGGAATGAACCGAGTTGTATGCGTGTATGTATGTGTATGCTGTATGCGGATACAAATTTTCGTCGACGATTTCGGGAACACGGAGCGTCCGATTTGAATAATTCAAAAAACATTTTACTTGTATAACAAGATGAAAAACTGATCAAATTTTCATGAAGGCAGGTCTAGCGGTTTCGGAGATCTAGTAAAAAAAGTAAAAAAAATGCCATTTGGCGGTCAAAAATGATCATTAGACATATGCACATCAAATTATCATTATATTTTATAGAGATTTTAAAAATAAATATAAATTTTGTTTACATTTATATGGGTTCCGTACCAATGTTTATTCGTTAGACGGCGACGCGGCGCTTACGCGCTTCGATATTTTGTCTCTATGCAGTTAAAGCAGTACGATTGCTTTGAAAAAAATTCAGAATTTCCCAAATATTTCAAAATATTTTCTTTTTTCAAAAAAAAGTAAATTTTTGTTAAAAATTTATAGTTCCTCAAAAATATAATTTTTTCAGAGTATTTTTTTTTCAAAAATGTTTTTTCAAAAATCTTTTTAAAAAGCCATCCGCCCCACTAGTTATAATTAATTTTGTCGATACAAGAGTGAATAGGTCATAATATAATTCGGTATCTTTCACGTTTACGTCTAAAAATGAGTTTAACAAAAAGGAGATACTTTCACAAAATTTTAATCTTGGCCAAATGACGAGGTAGAAAGTTAAAAACTGCTATATAGGCTTTTCTCAAAACGATCTAAAATGTAGATCATTTAAATACCAAGGTCGGCTCGATCCTGTACAAATATGAGTACGCTTTAGGGTGTCATGCATAAATTTTATTATGGAGTTTGACGAAAACTTTTTGCACTTTTCTGTAAATTCTAAGGAAACGATTTGATTTGAAAACTTGATCGTGCATAACTAATAAACGAAATTCTCATATAGAAAAGTTTCATGAAATGGCTTTTAAATTTTTGAAATAGAATTAGCCGCTTTTGAGAGAACACACAAACAAAGATATACACATTCTAATTTTAATGTTAAATGATACATGCATTGCAATGTAATGCAATGATACATGCATTCTAATTTTAATGTTAAATGATACAGAAACGTCGAGAAAACATTAAATTAGCAAATCGTTAATTCAAGCTAAGACAGAAATTCTTTCGGGAAGCTAATAAAATGTAAGAGATAAAATAAATTTCAAATTTAAATCTTTTTAAAAAAATATTCTTTTTAAAAAACAACAATAATGTATCAATAAGAATAAAAGCAATGTCTTCTGAGAAGATTTCACGAGGTAATAAAATTAAATTACAACTGCAAATTTAATTATTTTAGAAAACCCTAGATAACAACTCTGAAGTGTACAGAAATTTGTTCTTTTTATCCCCTAATTGCTTTCTTTCCGTTTCTTTGCACTAGGGAAAAATACTCTTTCATCTGGGTAAAACATAAAAAGCAAATTAAGACATTTCTTGTATTTCAATGTACTTTCATTAAAAATAATTCTAATTCTGTTTCCAACGTAAATTAAAAAAGAAACTTTCGCGTAAACATTATAAATAATGGTTCATGTTAGGAATATTAGACTGAAATATATTAAGAATTGCAGGAAATATAAATGGAAGAGCCACATATACGAAATATATGTTTCCAAATGGTAATATGGAACAGTTTGAAATTCAGTATAAAATAAAGCCAATTATAAACATAAGAAGGAGCACAGTGTAGTCAAAAGCGTTTCTTCATATATAACCGAAATAAAAATATGTACGAAATTTTAATAACATTTTTAGTTAATTACATATCTCGTAATAAAATACTACTATTTCAAATTATAAATTAAATATGTACTAAATTTTAATAACATTTTTAGTATCATAAACTCTTGTTGCAATTTACACATTCGTATTAATTACAAATGATTTATATAAAACTAGCTGTACCCGTTCACGCTTTGCCGTGATTTAGTTTAAATTAAAAAGTTGAACAAAGATGTGTATTTGTTACATTTAGTTTAACGTTACTACTATCTGTTCAACAATTTACCTATTCAACAATTTGTCTACTAATTTACCTATGAACCCTTTTATCAATCTACCATTTTATCGGCCTATAAATTTACCTGTCATTCCATTCTACATGTCTACCAATTAACTTGTCAACCTGTTTATTTGTCTACATATTCGCCTATCCACCAGTTTTCCTCTCTACCATTTTACCCGTCCACCAGTTTACCTTTATAAATTCTCTAATTCACCTTATTTATTAACTTCCCGAAGGAGAAGTTTATGTTTTCATCAAAAAATCCGACTCGCTAATTTTATGTTTTCTCGACGTTTCAAAGTTTTCTGAATCGAATGAGACCAAATTTGAAAAAAGTATGTGTGTGTGTAGGTGTGTGTGTGTGTGTGAAAAGATTTTTTGCCGTAAATCGACGTTTTCTCAAAAAACGGCTGGACCGATTTCAAAAATTTAAAAGCCATTCGATGTATCTCGATGAGGACTATTGTTTGGCAGTTTTGTACGTTTCTTTATAAATCGCAGAAAAGTGAAAAAATTTTCGTCTACGTTTTAGCCCGCAATTCTGAATCGATTTTGAAAATACAAAAACCGTTCGAAAGATATTGGTTGAAAATCGTGCTGATTAGTTTTTGCTAGAGATCGGCCGGGCCGTTTTCTTGTAATAAAGTTTAAAAAAAAAAAATTTCGACGATTTTTAATTATTTTTTTGACGGTAGATACCATAGTCTTCTAGATCATACAAAAATATTACGGCCCTACAACAACTAGTTTAGCTTGAAAAATTCGTCAAAGTTTGCAAAAATTAGTATGGTCTTTTTGGCATTTGTCAAAATTAGAACTTTCATCGACGTTTGCTCAAAAACGCCTGAACCGATTTCAGAAATTTAAAAACCATTTGATGTATCTCGATGAGGATTATCGTTTCTCCATTTAAGCTCATACTACCGAAGCGATTTTCAAAAATCAAAAACTGTTCGAAAGATATTAGTTGGGAATGATACTGATTAGTTTTAGGTGAAAATCTACCGAGCCGTTTTCTTATAATTAACTGTTGAAAAAAAAATTTAAGCCGATTTTCATGGAACTTTTTT